GGAGGAGGACGGGAGCGGGTGCTTGTCTGATGGGGTGGGGCGGTATTTGGCGATGTAGATGGGGACGTTGCAGTTGAGGCCGTGGAGGAAGTGGGCTGTGATGGAGGCGGCGTTGCGTTGGATGTTGAACTGTGGGTTCTTAGTCTTTCTGTTCTAGGGCTATGGGGGCTGACATACTTTGGATGGATCATTGAAGAGCCAGCGGAAGTACGGATCGTCGGCAAACGCCTTTTGGATGCAGACTACGGCATCGGGGATGTCGGTTTTGGTCAGGGGCAGTATATCGATCGCCATGATGAGCGTGTGGCAGTTCAGTCTCTACTGGCTCTGCGGATGGGCTGCGATAAGGATATGGTGTATGTGTGGGAATGTCGGCGGAGGGGATAGAGGGAGATCGCCATCTAAGGGTTGTATCTGAAGAGAAGATCGAATCAATACAATGCTGATGGTGAACTCTTTTCGGGATTTTCAATGTCAGGTACTGCAGTCGTTGCTGATGCTACTCCGCTTGCACAATGGTGAAGCTTTATACGCCGTAGGGGACAATGGGGATGGTCACGAGGTATCCCTACAGGGCAGTTCCATGCGGTTCTCTGTAGGTGATCCTTTCTAGTGTCTTATCGGTACAGGTGTCACATCATTGGGGATAGCTTGCAGCCCACCTGCAAAGCCAAGTCTAATCGAAGCAACAGACGAATCATGGGGCGTACAACAGCGGGCTGATTGCCGCCAACTGGGAAACCCGAGTCCCCGCTGTGGATGGCCAAGCCTCTAGGCGAAATCGGGCAGGTTCTTGCGGGTGGGTGATGGGTCTAGGGAGGAGGTGGCCTGTATAACCAGATGACAACGTGTATATGGCGGTCAGATGATCCTGAGCATCAAAGTAAGGAATGGAATCTCTTACAGCTTGAGTGGTGTAACCTAGATGGATCTACCGACCCCACAGTCTTATCTGAGAGATACCACCCGATTTGGCTCTTATCAAGATGTTATCCAGCTTAAGATGAATAGACCATGTTCTTTGATATTCCAGACTCTTGAACAGACAGCACTTTTTACAACTGTCCTCAGTTTAGTGTCGATACCCCCGGGTTTGGCTCCCGGGTCATAACCACATATCTGGCGCTTCCTTCTCCCCCATACAACGAGAAATCCATCACAAGGTCCTCAATATCCTTCCATCCATACTTGCAATACAGCGGATACCCTTCCGGCGTGGCCTCAAGATAAATCCGTGCATTCCTCTCGTCCGCGATTCGCACTCCCCAGTCCAGCAAGGCCTTCCCCACCCCTTTTCCCTGATGCTGGGGATGTGTCACCAGAAGTTCCAGAACTACCCCATCAGCCCCATTCGACTCCTCACAACAGATCGCCGAAACTCACCCATGTCGTCCTCCTTCACGTGTTTCTTCCTCGTCTCCTCCAGCGCTTTCAAGCCTGCCTCGTAGACCGCCAGATTCATCCCTGCTGGCCGCAGCTCCAAGGTCTGCGCGGCCTTGGCCCTTGCTTCGTCCGATAGCACCGCCATCTCGCTGCGCCCCTCGGGACTCCGGATCAGCCACCGCGCGCAGCCCAGAACTTGATTTGAAGCCGGATCCGTGGCTACTAAGACGTGTATCTTGGGGTCAGAGAGTTTGTCGTAGTAGCGGGATTGTTTCAAGGGGACCGCGGCTAGCGGGTCGACATCCCGGAAGATATTGCGGTGGAGGGGCCCATGCTTGAAACAGATAACATTGAGTTCTGCAATCGCAAACGCGTCGTCTTCGGTGGCGTACCGTACATTCGTCATGTTGAGAATTTACAGTCGGTCTGGTCTGGGAGGATATGTTCAAGGGAAGAATATTTACAGAGTGAGATTCTGGCAAACGCGGGGATTCGGCGCGGTGGGACTAAATAGTACAAGTCCGTCGATTGATCCCGAGGTTGTCTCGGTCTGACTCATGGCACGAGTGATCTTATCTTGTTAGAGATGATGGTTACCTAGTTTATGGACAATTAGGCTATCAAGTAAGGTATTAAAGAGGGATTATGGTAGCATATTATCAAAGGGTCAATCACCTGAGATGCTCACAAGCCATTCACCAAGAGCTGTTCCTCAGCTGGGATTATTGACTATTTATTTCCATATATAGTCCGTCAAATTTATTCATCATTACATAGATCAAGGCTCAATGTCCTTGCGTTTATCTAACAGTTAGCCAGTTGGCCAGTTGGCCTCAAGCCTAGCAAGCCATACATCTCAGTATCAAGAGTCACAACTCTCGTCCTTTCAGAATGCAACTCATTACTGTCTTTGTGACTACCTTCCTCCTCTTCTCCTCTGCAGCCACGGCCCAGAGCTTCGGCAACAACTGCCTTCCGGATTGCTATCCTTATAGCGATGTTGCTGAGAGCGAATGCCCTGCGGATCACTCTGCCATTGGACATCAGGGTCCAGTACGTCTGCATCCTTGGATGTCTCCGCAATGTTGATGCTAATATGTTCTCTTCTTGTCGATAGGGATGCTTTCAGTGTTGCGAGTCGGTTTAAGAGCAACTCTAACCACGCAAGAGATCATTCTCTGAGTTCTTACGCAGAGGTATGTATGCCTGTAAGACAAGGTCATTGGATATCCTATTTATTGACTGTGATTAGACAGAACAGGACCTCTTCTGTTTGTGGAAGTAGGGATCAGGATTGATAAAGAATGATTCACTAAGTAAATGCTGATGATTGAAACTTGAATATTATCACTTACTGACACATGTTAGCATAAGAGTGAGTCAAATCTTCTCATAGGAGCCATGAGCCCTCAAGAGACAGTTGCTAGTGCTGGTGTCTTGATATTATATGATATCATGTATACATGTCTAATCATTATCATAGGCTGCCTCATTGCAAGCTCTAGCTCAACTTTTTCTTTGACCATCCCTTCAAATCATACATGATATGTATCAAGAGCCTAAGCCCACTTGCCCAACACCCCCATCAACACCATGCCCGCAATCAGCGAGACCCCCCCAATAACCACTCTGCTCACTCTGGCATTCATCATCTCCCCTCCCTCCATCACCCAGTCCCGAGCCCACATATCGACCACCCCAACCCACACCAGGATCCCCGCAGACAGCGCGTCCAGCGTCCCCAACGCCACAAGCGTACTCTTCTCGTTCCCGTTGAACGAATGCAGCACGCCCAGCCCGATCGCCATCCCCACCGGCGTGATCACCGCAAACGCACCCGCCATCACCGCCTTATACGACAACAGCCGTCCCGGAAGCAGCGCGATCCGCGCCCCGAGCGCCAGCCCCTCGAAGAACTGGTGGAACACAATCACCACCAGCAGCGTCTTGTAGAACGAGTCCCCCGCCACCACGAGGGTGAGCCCGATCAGGATGCTGTGGAAGATCACGCCGGCTTCCATGACGAACACGGAGAGCTTGGTGTTGGGGTTTGTGGGGTCGAGCGGGGGCCCGTGATGGTGGCCCAGGGCGGCGAGGGTGTGTTGCTGTTGCTGCGGTTGGTGGGGGGTTGGTTCCTTGCTTGTGGGTGATGGTGACGGGGCGGTTTCGCAGGTCTGCTCGGGGCAGGGGGCCCGCTTCCCGCGGGCGAGGATGATGCGGTGGCCGATGTACTCGAAGAGGAAGGAGAGGAAGATGCCTGCCATGACGACGGCGGAGGTGGTGGCTTCGTATTCGAGTTCGCCGAGGCACTCGTTGGTGAACATGAGGTTGGCGTGGGTGTAGAGCTGTTCGGTTAGTTTGGCTTCGGCTTGGCTGCTGTCCCTGGGGTGGACCGTGGACCTACATGCACGAAAGCAGTGGAGAGAATGACCCCCGTTCCGAACTGCTTGATCACCGTTGAGACGGCCCCGTTCAGAGATGCAAAGGGCAATTTGACCAGGAGCATGGGCAGGAACACGCCGATGGAGCTGGTGGCTAGCACGACGAACAATGTCCCGATGCGCAGGGGGACGTCGTAGTCGCGGCTTCGGAGGCCACAGCTACTGCTACTTTTGCTCTCGGATTCTCCCGCGCCCACGCAGTGTCTAGGTATGTTAATGTAAGAACCGGGAATATGAAGCAGACGGGGCGACGCACTCAACACCCGCGTGGAAGTGACAGTTCATGCCCTCCTTCGAAGACCCCGACTGCGATTCCTCGCTCGAGGTAGATAAAGTTTCCGTCGAACTCTCCTCTTCAATGATCTGTACGTCGTTTCCCTCCGGATCGATGCAGTATCTTTCCCCGTCAGCTACTTGCCGATCAAATACAGCCAAACACTTACGTGTCTCCGCCATGCGAATGGCATCCCGTGTACTGGGCTGGCAGTTCTCCCGTCGGCGTTGACGCCAGTACCACTTGCACCTCGTGTCCATCCCCGTCAATACAGTATACCTCGCTGCCGTGGCTGTGGCATCCCGTCACGGCGGAGGCCTGTGCGGAGGTGGTTGTGCTGGCGGCGGTGCTTGCAGGAACCGTCGCGGTAGCGGGAACCTGCGTGGAGATGGGGGTTTCCTTTCCATCTGCGCCGTAGCAGTACTCGACGCTGCCGTGGGTGTGACAGCCCGAGTAGGACTGGGCGTGGACGAGGCCGAGAAGAGATAGCAGGAGGAGAGATTTGGCCATGGCCATGTTGGATTGTAATCTTGTCAGTCTAATAGCTACGTGATTAGGCGGTATTTATATCTACGCATAAAATTATGACTATCATACTCCGTACATTGGTCGATGGATCATTCATAGGGACAAGCCACTGGCGGCAAAGAGTTTTCCTCTCGCCTTGGACACACCACACTAACTCCCAAGGTGTCTATCGCCAAGGACACAGTCTGACTGCCAAGGAGGAAAATTCCGCATACGCCATGAAGTGCAATATATTCTCCGGCAAAATTGATCGAGAGTCGTGCTTGTTGCTCTCAAGGTCCTCGCTCCAAGACTCTTGGCCGCCTCCGCCGGGATATCTTATTCTTGGCGTGGACTGACTTGCTCTATTGCCGTCGGAAATTGACCTTATGTTTATTGTTGAGGGCTTTTAGGACCGGTCAGTTGCCTTCAAGTATATATGCTATCACCTTTTATGAAGATGTGAGCTGCTTCAAGGCTGCAGAAGCAGGTGGATGTATGCAAGTCGCGTACATGCACGAAAGGATCATGACTGACAGAAGCACAGAACATCTAGCTTTAACGAGATTGCTCGAGAAGCAGCTTGTCACTACCAAGGTTGTCCTTGGCGTCTTGTGGGGCAACTCAATACGAAAAAGATCATGCATTACTCAATGGAATGACCTACGTCCGGGTGGCTTGTATATCCTGATTGCCAACAGTGAGTACCGCAGAGGAGACCCAGCCTCGAGGTATATAAGCCTCTACTACCTCTGCTCAGAAACCAACGCCACGCACAATCCATTTCCATACTGCTCCCCCAAAATGGCTGCTCTGCTCCGTCTCGCCGTTCTGCTCCCCCTCGTCGCCGCCCTCCCTACCTCCCCCCTCTCGGCGCGCGCAACCCCCCACGAACCGGCCTTTTTCTCCTGGAACGCCGGGGCCGTCACCTCCTACCCCATCCACTCGAGCTGCAATACCACGCAGCGCCGGCAGATCGAGGCCGGCCTCGACGAGGCGATCGCCCTAGCCGAGCACGCAAAGGCGCATATCCTCCGCTGGGGCAACGAGAGCGACATCTACCGGAAGTACTTTGGCGGCCGGCCCAGCATGGAGGCCATCGGCGCCTACGATGTCGTCCTGAACGGTGACAAGGGGAACGTCCTCTTCCGGTGTGATAATCCCGACGGGAACTGTGCTCTGGAAGGTATGCTATCCCCCCCATAAACTCTGCTGTCAACCTGCAGAGCTAACGAGGCGCAGGCTGGGGCGGCCACTGGCGCGGCGAGAACGCCACCGACGAGACCGTCATCTGCGACCGGAGCTACACCACCCGCCGCTCGCTGCTCACCATGTGCGCGCAGGGCTACACGGTCTCCGGGTCGGAGACGAATACCTTCTGGGCGGCGGATCTGCTGCACCGGCTGTACCATATGCCTGCTGTTGGGCAGGGGTGGATCGAGCACTTTGCCGACGGCTACGAGGAGGTGCTTGACCTGGCCAAGGGGGATGGGACGGAGCCCACGCATGACTCGGAGACGCTGCAGTATTTTGCGCTGGAGGCTTATGCGTTTGATGTTGCTGTGCCTGGTGTGGGATGTCCCGGCGAGAGTCACGATCATGAGCATGAGAGTGAGGCTGGGGCTGGGGCCACAGCGACGGCGACGGCTACAGCCACGGCGGCACAAACTGCCAGTGTCACTTCGGAGGTGCCAGCGGTAAGTGATAGTCTCTGAGCAAGAGGATGCGGCTGACGTTGGTAGAACTGCCATACCCATGAAGGTGGAGAACTCCATTGCACTTAGCCGTCGGCGCCGTATGCTTGATGACCGTATTGTTCTGAGGGATTGTGAGTAATTAGGACGACTCATGTCTACTTGTTTGAAGAGCATATTTGCTTTGCTTAACAACATTCATGCTGTGTGGTTAGCAAGTGTAGACCTAATACCTGCATCCAACGTTTAATCCACTAGACATTTATTTCATAATCCATCCAGAGGTTTAAATCTCATCATCTAAACAGCGCACAATGCCCCCGTCATGAACAAACTGCCATCGGCCAACATGTACACCGTTGCGCCTTGAAGTCCTCCGGCGCCCCCAGTCAGCCCAGCAAGCTCCGCGCATCCCCGTCTCCTCCACCTCGGGTTTTCCTGAAGTAGGGAATTGTTCGCCTGGCCTTCTCATCTGTGACGTGACAGCCACTGCCGGTGATGGCAATTGTGCGGTGGGTGAGGGAGAAGAGGTTGTTGGTTGGTTCTGGGGTGATGGCTGGGGTGATATGGTGGTGGGTGATTGAGGGTGACATTTTGTTGGGGTTCAGTGGGTTGGTGTGATGAGAACAAGGCTGGAATGATGGACTTGAGCTGGGGGTGAAGGTCATTCAAAGGATGCATCTCTGCGTTTACTCGCAACGGGGGAGAAGTCACTTTGAACCTGGAGGGTTGAGCATCTTCAGGAATTTTTGGGGGGACGAGGACGAGGAGCATTGGACAAACATGGTCTCAAGTACCAGTCTGTTTGTATCTCTATACAGATGAGAGATGCAATTATATATTTTATGAATGGCCAGGTATACAGTGCTTTTGTACATATCTTCTCAATTGCACCGGGCCATTTGCAACTAGACTATCACCCTTCTGCAGAGAGGGTCTATACTCTGTACATACAGCACCTGGTGCTCTTAGGGTTGTTAAGTTAATGCCGAAGAACAAGTTCAGCCATAGGAAAGCCTCGAAGTAGACTTCTAGCCAGGACATCAGCGTCCAGGGACGTCTCCATTCTCAACGTCGTCCGGTCAACATAAAACAGGCTCTTAACAAGCAGGAGAGGAGGAGGTTACCCCAGAAACAGGTATTGCCAAATTATCTTAAGAAAACGTATTCAGCCAAAGAACGCGACAATTCGAGGATGTGTGGCTCTCGCAGCGAGGATGTGTGGCTCTCGCAGCGAGGAGTCGGGCAACGATGTGGAATGTATCGTGGAATGCACGATCTTAGATAGCAACGGGTACGTACTACCACGTAGTATCAAGGGGTCTTGGCTTGTAGGACACTGTTCACATTCAGAGTTGGACGGGACAATAATTGGTGGGATGTTGTACCTGATTACCCCTTGATTCTAGGACTGAGGTGATGCAAGCGTTGATTCTCATCCATAGACAGAGTTGTCTGGTTTGGACTTTGGGTCTTGAGAGTACACTGTTGACTTGATGGTGTCTACTACTTAGTCTATACCATTTGGTTCAAGTGATATCAGGATTCTGAACATTGACTTTACATGATAAGTGTTAGATGATCTGAATATCGAGCGGGAAGTGGCAGCAAGTCACACAAGGCATACTCTATCCACATACTCTGTCCGATGGTCTGGTTGAAAACTTAGTATCTGATGTCTGGTGTCTAATGATAGCCAAGTCCTTGTGTAATATTGAGAGTAACCATCTTACAGCAGATAGATTAGTATAACCTCTTATAATTGTTGCTCAAATCATCCACTCCATGCGGACGAGATATGCGGCTGGTTGTCTGCTAGAAGGTCTTGGGATGTTGTATACAGTGAGTAGAAATATATATGATGATTAACTGTTGCGGAGATAGAACCAGACCTTTAGCAGTTTTAAAAGACTTATATCATTCAATACATTATCAGTCGATTATGTGGATATATCAGCATCCTTGTGGGCTCTTGGGAGAGTGTCGGTTTCTCTATCCTGACACGTGTGCGACATATATATACAGCGATTGTTGGAGTACCTGATCCTCAATAGCTCCACAGATAGACACATAGAAGTACTAGCATAATATCCACTATTTAGGCTACAACGATATTGCATGAGTATTCAGGAGATCTGCAGAACAATCTAATAGTGCCTTGAGTTCAGTGATACTCATAGTTTGATACTACAGAAGAGCATCCATTTGTAAACTGATGCTTGCTCATCACCACTGAGCATTACTGCAATATCGAATGAGCCAATCTGTCAATCTAATTGGGTCTATTCCGTAGAGAAGGTTCTACCTAAAGACTGAAACTATGGAAGACTTGCGGGGGACCTCAATAGCAGTTCAGGGGTATCACACTACTGTCACTAGTCGACCATGGCCATGGACTATGGAGACGTCAACACTTAACTCTAAACGAAACGACCCCCTCATCCAGTCTGGAGTCCAGACTCTGCCTCAGTCTCCTTTTCTTTAGGTTTTGTAACATGGATTCTCTATCAAGGCTAGTACTGATGAGTGACACTAAACTTGAGCACCATCTTGGCAGCATGGTGGCACATTTTCTATTGTCGCATGTTTCCTCGTCACCAGGGCAATCAACCAGAGACCTTGGCCTGATGTGTACGGAGTAGCCCAGGGGAACGCATGGAATGCCTCCACAATCCAGAGATCTAGCATCAGAAAACACAGAATCTGTCCCTTTTCTGATATGACTGAACAAAGTCGGACCTGCTTCTCTCCTGCACGTCCCCCCAAGCTTTTTTAGTTCCGTTCCTGATAGGTCATATTGTTTCACTTTCGACTAGGTGGTTGAGAAGCGACCTGGGGGGTGCAGTGGTGCACATGGGGGAAGCCGCAGCGCATGACCCCCTTCCCTGCCCGAGACACCTTCGTCTTGGTCTTGGTCTTGGTCTCTTGGACGCTTGAGAGGGGTAGAAACGAACTTATTTTACTTTTCTATTAGTCTAAGCTCTGGCATCCTTATTTATGTATGTTGTTGGTTGAGATCGTGTCTATTTCCTGGCAGCATTGATCTACGCCTGGCGCATCGCTGAGTCTTCGCTTCACCCCTGTACTGACAGCTTTTACCTTGTATATTTTGGCAACCTCACTTCTTCGCCATGAGTCCCTCGCTGCAATTGGACACTCACTCTCGAAAGGATGAGAAACTTCCCTCATGCTCCTCCAAGACTCTTGTCGCTGCGCCGCCCGTGGAATCACCCAAATCTCCCGAAGACTATGACCCTTGTGTCAATGCAAAGCCATACTCCCCCTTTTATCGACATGCAACAGCCTCGTTCGCCTTGGAACAGGCGAAATCTCAATCGAAGAAACCGAACTGCAATCTGGATGGAATGCACGACTTGGAAAGTGCGCCGTCGCCATCACCTTACAAGCAATCTGTGGACGTACAGAGCTCTCGCACCTCGAACCTGTGGACAAAGAAGCGGAGACGTTGCAATTGGATGCAGTCCTTGACGAAGAAGCAGAAGCTGGCAGTCAAGGCCATCATCGCGATTGTCACGCTGGGAAGCATGGTGGCTATTGCCTTGGGAATTACCATTGCTGTGGGCGGCGGAGTGTGGAAATCCGATCACCAACAAGGGGCCATCCATGTATAACAGTCAGTAAGTCATGGGATATTGCTCTTGTTATTCTGGCCACTGACTCATTAGTCTCTGCAGGTAATGTATTTCAAATGTACAGCATGCAGACGTCTACTTGTGCGTACTCGGTCTCCGTTCATGGATGCCGACCAAGCTGGATCGTCAGGCGCGCATCTGCTCAGGTCCACTATCCCACAGAGTCACATCAGATCGACCATGGTAGAACCTTTATCATCTCCAGAAATTGCCCGGTCGGAAGCTCCAGCAGGCTGTCCAGGGAACGCCAAAGGGAGTGCAGATGTCAGTATTGGGGCGTTATACCGGCCACCCTCTCCCGCAGAGGATCGATTGTACAGAAAGATCCATTTTTTTCTTAGGTGTTTCTATTCCGAGATACAAAGTTGTGTACATTAGTTTGGATCAAAGTATGACAGGAATCGATGATATTTCCACGCAATTCTCCATCAGCTGGATTGAAGTTTTAACTGATTGTTGCGATGTGCCTGGCATGGCAGCCTTGTTGCCTGGCGGCGGAAGAATCGTCGGCCCCTGGCACGTGACCCACAGAGACTACAAAATGGCACATTCCGCGCTGATCTCTTCCCCTGTTTTCTTTTCCTTTTTTTCCTCACATCGAAAAGCTTTAACAGAACCTGCCACGACCATCGTCCAGTCTTTCTATCCCACGGCGGTGTGTTGCCTTCGATCTTTCGATCGTTCGGTTCTGGAGAACAATGCTTTCCTTGATAGGAAGTTTGCCTTCCGTTGGGTCCTCTTGAGTGAGGGCGATGGAGGGTGAATGTCGATGACGGGACACATCTCTTTTTTACAGATATAGCACGAATACAATGGAAGTTAATTTTTGGAATACCTCTTATATCACTTCGTAATCCTGGAGAGCACTCTTGTGGACTGCTCGACCTGCGTCATCGAGTCGGGCTCCAGTCCGCGATGGTTGCTACGATGTCTTTCGGCTTTACATCACATTGTCTCTAGTTATTGACCTGCGCAACGTCAAGATCGCTGTTACTGTATTGACACGGAAATTTTCTGCGACTCTCATTCGACCAATGACTCCTGTTGTAAGACAAAAGTCTCCTGGATCGTGTTAAATGACACAGGGATATCTTCTGGTATGCACAGCAAGGGGTCACCAATCTACCCTGGCGATGGACAGTGAGTACTCATACCGCTCCTGGGCCTCCTAGTGTTGACCTTGCGCCCAGGAATGCCAGGACTGCCCTTCTGATGGCACCGTTCGATCGAAGTAACCACGGTGCCCAAGCCCACCAGCTGGCGGACTGTCTAGCTCATTCCCGGTGACATTCTCCTGACGCCCCAAACAAGGTCATGCCCTTGTTGTTTGTTTAGCTCACTAAGGGTTGATTTACATGCCTTGAGTCGAAACATGCAAGAATGAGACTCATAAAAGGCATGAACCTTGCCTATGGAGAACTTAATATCAGACAAACGACTAGCACTGGTTCCGACACCACGTTCCTTCTCTTTTCACTTCTTTGTCTTGTTACCCTTCCATTGGGCTTCCGGTCCATATTCACTCGTTAATCTTACTTAATTCTCGATTTAATCATCATGAAGGGATTGGTTGGAGGCATCCCGCTTGCCCTTCTTGTCGCCGCCGTCGCCAACGGCCATGGAATGGGCCAAGGCCATGGCGACACTGGACACGGCGAGCGCCCTGCTACTGTTATTGGTGGCCCCAGCGGTGATGACGGCGGTAACAGTGCCGCTATCGGGTTCGACAGCAGCTACAGTTCCAGTGTGAAGGACACCTACAAAGACGACCACTCCTTTCATCTGAAGAACCATGTGGTCGCTCCCCCTCCCCCTCCTGTGCCTGGTTTCCGCAAGCGAGGCAATGGCGATGGGACCGTTATTAAAGGCCCATCTGGCGACGACGGTGGCAACGAGGCAGAAATCGAGTTCGACAGTGCCTATTCTTCTGTTGTGGAGGATTGGGTCAAGGACGATCACTCCGCAGATATCAAGAACAACATCTTTAGCCCTGGTTTCCGCAAGAGGGGTGATCATGATGCGACTGTCATTGGTGGTCCCTCGGGAAACGATGGTGGTAACAGTCTGGAAATCGAGTTTGATAGTTCCTATTCCTCGGTTGTAGAGGACTGGTATAAGGACGACCACTCCCTCAACGAGGAGAATCACATCGTTTCTCCTCCACCAATGCCTGGCTTCCGGAGGCGAGGTGATCGCGGTGCAACAGTGATCGGTGGCCCATCTGGCAATGATGGCGGCAATAGTGCTGAAGTCGATTTTGATAGCTCATACGACTCCACTGTCAAGGATTGGTACAAGGACGATCACTCCATCGACATTAAGAATGACATTGTTCACCCTCCCCCAATGCCCGGTTTCCGCAAGAGACAAGGGAACACTGTCATTGGAGGCCCTTCAGGCGATGATGCTGGGAACAGTGCGGAGATTGACTTTGAGAGCATCTACACATCAAGTGTCAAGGACTTCTACAAGGATGACCATTCGGTTGACGTCGAGAACCATATCATCCACCCTCCTCCAATGCCCGGTTTCCGCAAGAGACAAGGGAACACTGTCATTGGAGGCCCTTCAGGCGATGATGCTGGGAACAGTGCTGAGATCGAGTTTGAGAGCACCTACACGTCGAGTGTCAAGGACTTCTACAAAGATGACCACTCGGTCGACGTCGAGAACCATGTCATCCACCCTCCCCCAGTGCCAGGCTTCCGGAAGCGCGACGATGGGGGCAATCATGTGGGTCGCCCTCATCATGATGAGGATGGTGACTCGACCGTGGTTGGAGGTCCTGGAAAACATGCCAAGCACCACGGTGATACTGTCATTGGAGGCCCCTCGGGTGACGATGGTGGCAGCAGCGCCGATACCGATTTTGACAGCCACTATTCCTCGGAAGTTGAAGACCATTACAAGGACGACCATTCTGTTGATATCAAGAACCACGTGTTTGCGCCAGCCCCGCCAATGGGCTTCCGCAGGCGCGGCGGCCCAGTTGTGATCGGTGGTCCCAGCGGCGATGATGAAGGCAACAGTGCCAGCTTCATCTTTGATAGCGACTACTCATCGGAGGTCAACGATGACTACGAAGATGATCATTCCGTGACGGAGGAGAACTGGATCGGGCAACCTCCTCCTCAACCCCCGCATCCTTACGCACCTCCATTCGGTGGGCCGGCACCAAGCAAGCCATGCAGCACCTCAACCATTGTTGAGACCATCGTCAGGACCATTTCAGAGGATCCAGCGCCCACGAAGCCCGCTGTCCCATACCACCCGTCTGAGCATCCTCACCCTGAGTCCACTCCTCCGTCCGTGCCCGCCCACGAGTCTTCATATCCCAAGCCTCAGCCAAGTGTCCCATCCGACCCCAGTCACAGCTCCAAGCCCAGCCCTCCTTCGTACACCACGCATCCCTCCGAGGCCGTGCCAACTGGTGTCTCTCCCACTCACGAGGCTGAGCCCCCCAAGTCTGAGCCAAGCGCCCCCGGTTATGCACCACACGAACCTGGCTTCGAGAAGCCAGAGCCGGCCCGCACCCCCTGTCCCTCGTCGAAGTCGGAAGCTCATTCCGAGCCCAGTGCTCCCTCATATCCTCCGCAGCAAACCGCTCATCCACAGCCTGAGTACAGCGCCCCCGCTGAACCTTCTCACGAGCCTGCTCACCCGAAGCCTCAAGTGACCACGACGCCTTGCCCCACGCGCAAGCCTGAAGGTCATCACCCTGAGCCCACCGCTCCTCCCTATCAACCACATCAACCTGAGCACTCTGTCCCTGAGAAAGCGACCCCCATCACCTCCACGATCACCGTGAGCCATACCTCCTCCTTCGCTGTTGTCCCCGTCTATGTGCCCAGCACCCACAAGACGTCTTGCTCGTCCGAGCAACACCAACGCCCCAGCGCCGTCGACCCCCACAGCAACTCGGCGCCGTCGATGCACCACGAAGCTCCCCCGACACCTAGTCAGAGCGCGATGTTCACCGGCGCTGCGGGTCGGATGACACCCGCCGGTGCCATGTCTGCAGTTTGTGGTCTCCTGGCTGTTCTTGCCTTCGTGCTGTAATGGAGCCGTTGATGGGTCTGGACATCTGTCATGTGGTACCACGTTTCATTTCTTCGTCACTCGCTCAATGATTATTTAATGTCCTTTGTATTACTGACACCTACTTGCTACACTCGCTTTGTCTGTATTCATTTCTTTTGTGATAATCTACAAGCAGAATGCTATGTGTGATATTTCTAGATTCATCTCCTCCGTAGTGTAGCTTCAATCGTGCTGTAAACACTGTCCCTCACCGGCCTGAACTATCAAACTGCACATGATTCGTCACCTTGCTGCCTGCTATCAAGTCCTTTGGCTACCTTGGCCAGGCAGAGCCCATCGCCTTCGCGAAACATGTCCATTGATTACCAATGTCTTACACGACTTTCCTGGAATCTAGTAATCCGAAGATAACATGATTTCTCGATCTTACTTCACTTCACGAATATCGCCAGAGACTGAATTTACACATATCTTGGCAATTTGTGTACTTGCTGGTAGTTGATGTTGGCATCAACCAAGGTCCTCTTATTATGTCATTGTGGCCGAACAGCACGTTCGTTGCCAACCCACACCTCTCCCTCTACGCCGACGGCGTGGATAATCACCTTATGAAACTCCAAGGTCCAGTCTGATATCAGTCGATGCTAGTTCTCCTATGTCCACATTATCATCACTGTACGTATGACTAAGCCGATCCGACTCGATGGATGAGGTCAACCGGCTGCTTCTGATATCATAATCCCATCATTCCCGAATCCAGGATCAACGGTGACATCAACTTCAGTCGTTCTCCTCCACGGTTGAGGGAGTATATAACAGCTTCAGCTTGCTCAGCCCATTATTTCTGGAATCAGAACAATTCCAAACAAAAACGCTGGCGTTTCGACCACTTCAATAATACCCAAGAGATTTTCTTCTTTGATTTGAGATAATACATAGATACAACCATGTCTTCCGACGACGCTCACAGAGGAGGCGCCCTTACCGAGATGGCCGAACACGGCACCTCCATGCCCAACGACGCAGGTATCCAAAATACCATCCCCTCCGTGCCCCGCCCCGACCAGCGAAGCGAGAACCGTCAGTTCGATAACCAGGGCCTCGCGGAGCCCTCGCTGGCCTTTGCCGCCGACAACGCCACCGATCTGCCCCGGAGCACCAAGGAGATGGGCACAACTGGTGAGGTGGTCACGGGGACTGGCGACGCGTTCCCGGTCGCGGGGGAGTCGAAGAGAATTAACCCCGACGCGATGGACCCCGGCGCGCGCGGAAATGCGCGGACGATCAAGCATGCGAATCTGAACCGGAGTGTGTTTGATCGGTCCGCGAGGGAGGATGGGAATGCGGGCGATTTCATTAGGGAGCATGAGATTCGGAATGAGTGATTTGGATGGTTGTGCTGGTTTATTACGATTTGTACTGATAGATTTGCGGGAAATTTTTTGAGGAATGTATCTTCGTTATCTTCGTTTGATTCTGGCTTGCTTATGCTGGCGTAGGAGTGATGAAGCCCTGGTAGATTTCGTCGAGGACGTCTCGTTTCCGTTTTCGATCGGCTTGCTCTGCCTCTTCTGCGTCGTCGGGCTCGCCCCGGGCTCCCGCGATATCCAGGTGCGGATGGTCCCGTCTCCGTGCGCGGAGAACATCTCCAGTCCTTCGCCTGAGCCGCCATTCCCGCGCCATACGAGAGAATTGATCCGGGCGGCGCTGAGGGCACTGGATCGCCCACGGATTTGTTGCCGACCAGCCATGAGACCGGGGACCTTGAGTCGTTTGATGAATGTTCCCTCGCGAAGTTCGAACATGAAAATCTCACCGCGGTCGTCGTGTTCGTTGAAGTTGGCCCACAGGAGTGTCTCTTGCCCTGGAGCCATCAGTCCACGGGGAACAATCAGCGGGGCCCTCTCGGCAAGATGAGAGGACACACCGTTCCGGACCCTGGGTCCAAAGTGCACAAGGGTATTGGCGCCGGTGGAGGCGTCCCAGACTCGGATTCGGGCATCTTGACCGGCTGTGACGAGGTGCGTGCCGGTTGATGTCCAACGGACGCCGGTCACAGCACCATTGTGCGCTCGGGCGTGGGGCGAGAACGGTGCGCGGCTTTGGTAGGATGCCGGGGCGCACTGGGGATGAACTAGGCCGACCGCATCATCCATGTCAAGGGTTGCGATGGCGGAATTGTGACCGCCCCTTCGAACGTCAAACAGAATCACGCGGTTGTCCGCTGATGCCGAGGCGAGGATATGTGGCCGGTGAGGGGCCCATGCAACTGAGAGGACCGCAGAGCTATGGCCCGGAAGGCCGTGAGTAGATAGGCCGGACCGCAGGTCGAGCAAGCGGACCGCCTTCTCTGATGTACCTACTGCAATGAGAAGCGTTGAACCGGGATGCGACGACATGGAATGAGAATAAGGCGTGCAGTCAAGCCTGAACGTATGCATAGGTGTGATGGCGCCAGGCTCCAAGGCAGAGAGCTTGAGGCTTCCATCATGAGCCGTACTCAAGATTGTAGATGGAGCGGGATCAAATGGGTATATTGAAACCGACGTGATGGCATGCGTATGGGCGTCCTCGTGGGATCCCTTGTTCATGGAGGCAATAGGCCGGTGGATATGATCCAACTCGGCGCCTCTGCTTTCTAGATCCCAAAAATGAATTGATGGGTCTGCACCACCGGAAACCATGCTGTTCAATCATTAGCTCATGTCGGAACTGATTCAGAAAGTGCATACAATCGTGAATCATTTTGATCAATGTTGAGTACATTCACGCCAGCCCTATGAGCAGCGGCGTCGCTTTCAAAGCCTGGACTTGCATCAAACAACGCAGAATCACGGTCGGATTGGCCTCCAGATATGTTCCTCAGGCTTGAGAATCGAATGCGAGGAGCTGGCTCGAGGTGGTGGACTAGTCGGGTAGTTTGTGCCACATGAAAGGTGTGCGGAGTGATAGACCCAAGGGCCCTGTTTAGGAGATATGAATTCATTCATCAGGGATTGAGCAACTTGAAATCCTTCAATACGTCAAGGGGATGCTCATGACGATTTCCCTTCAATACTTCCAGCTTGTCTCTTATCGCAACGCGGGGGCGGAGAAAGGTTGGGCCGGAGCTTGGAATTTCGTGCTCGTCGTCAGAAGCAGAAGAAAGTAATCCGTAGACTCTTTGACTCACTAGGTTGGAGGTTGACTGTAGATTTCCCCTGATGCTCTCACACGGGTGACCTCAACACAACAGGACTATGTCCTACGGCAAATCCCTTGCTCTGAGCCAGAATTCCTTCGTCCAGCCCCCGGATCAGGACGATGGCGCGCGGGACATTCAAGACGAGCCTTTGCTCAGGCGACAAAAACGTCAAGCAACTGTCTACGATGCTGTAGCTGGTTGGTATGATTACTCCGCTGTCTCGGGAGCTTACTGACATGCACAGGTCGTGTGAATGCACATGGTTTCCTTCCATCGGTCTCATATGCCTCGAAACACCGCGACACAGCGTCCTCCAGCGTTCGTCCCGTTCGCCCAGAGGAGGTACTCTTCCGCCGACAGAATGCGCCAATACGATATGAAGAGAATGACTTTTACTTCGCAAACGAGTCCCTCCCTGCTGACCGACCTCTTCCAAGTTCTGAGCTGCTAGAAGCCATTCACGCCTACTCGGCCGATTTCTATGATCAAGCAACCATCGATCGCGGTCAAGATGATTACCAAAGCATGGACGAGACAGCTCTGATCGCAATGGGGATACTGATGGAGGAAATGGCACGAGAGGCTCTGGGTGAAACCGGAGACCTAGTTCTGGTCGAGGGGGAGGAGCTCTCAACGGATGATGATCACTTATCGTCGAGACTCGGAAGTCGCCGCATAGGCCGGAAACGGGCCAACACCAGCCAGACTATGATTTTGGCCAGCTCTGGCGATGATCTGGATAGCGTTGTTAGAAAGCGACGATCGAAGAAGCGCAAGTTGACCCGGAGGGCGTCGACTACCGATTTTGAGACAGAAGCTGATGAGAGGTTGTGAACAAGATCTTGCTCCATTGGGGGGGCCTCATGATTCTTTATGAGAAACTTGTTTAAGGCCAGTGATCGTTCTTCATGGTTAAACCTGTCTGTTATGGCAATCAGTAACATCATAAAGACAGCTGAGGGGCAGAGAAGTCTAGTCTGGAGATCAGTGCACAGGAGCAAAGGTACTTCTAGCAAGCTGAATTGTTTATTCGGTCAACTCCTTTGATTTTGTTTACTATCGTTGGTATAAAAGGGACTGGACTTTTGTGGAATCCCTTCTCCCTACAAGCCTGTCCCAGATCTCACTCTGTTTCGTTGGTTTTCTTAAAACGTATCAATTGGCTCTGCTAGAGAAACAACAGAGCACTTTAGAGAGCTTCGCAACTACACTGGATGTGAAACTTCGGTCTTACTGTTACAGCAAGTTTCTGCTGTAGATTTCTGAGCATCGAAGGACTGGGCTAAGTGTTCAGTATCTGTAACTGAGCATTTCAAATCCTCGCTGCATTGTTGCATAGCAATCATACATGTGACTAGAACTGTTGTAGGTGACTGGATCTGGCATCGCAGTACTCCAATCCTCTCTCGTGTCACACCCATCACCATCCAGATCAGTTCATCATTTCCTCCATCTAATTCATCTCCAGAAGACTCAGTCCCCATCTGTTCCGCCATTGAATGCCTCGTAGGCCCTTAAAGCAGCTCAACAAATTACGCAGCATCGCTTGACGAACGTCAACATCTACCATCCAACATGGTTTGCTCCCCGAGTTCCACTTTCCGTTATCGTCCAAACGCAATGCATACGCAATTGAAGAAAAAAGAAAAAAAATTACAAGTTACTGGATGCTAATGATCATTCCTCAGCCACCAAAACTCTCCAAAAGCGCCAAAGAAGACTTGATAGTCGCGCATCTCCGCTCCTCACGCACGTGCCACACGCTCAAAGACCTCGAAAAGATGCTTCCCTCGGTGGCTTCTATCAATGGCATGCAGGTCAAGGAATATATTCAGAACCTGACTGACGAGGGTAAGATCCGGGTGGAGAAGATCGGAAGCGGGAACTGGTACTGGTGTTTTGGCGGGGATGAGAAAAGAGAGAGGCAAAGACAATTGCACCAGCTGGAGAAAGAGGTGAAGACTCTGCAGGCGAGCTATGACGAAGCAGAGGCTAGTCTGGCGGCAAAAAGGGGCAAGTGGGAAGAAGAGGGAGAGAATGAGGCATCCAATCTGGCAGAGAGGGAGGAGTTGACGCGTCGAAAGGGCGAGCTAGAAAAGGAAAGGAACCGGCTGCAAGCCCAGTGGACGGCCGCTACTACGACGGAAGAAGGGAAAGGAGTGCAGCAAATGAGAGAGGAGATTGAGGAGTTCCGAAAACAAGCGCTTATGTGGACGGATAATATTTACGTGCTTGAGGTGTATTTGAGTAAGCTGGCAGGAGGGGATCGGGAGATTATTGCGGCGGTGCAGAGAGAATGCTATGGAGATGAGTATGTGGAGGGTGAGGGCTTGAGAGAGCTGATTATTTAGGGAAACACATAGTCTATTGATGAGGGAGAAAAGCATTCTGTATCTAGATAGTCTGGAGTCCTTTAGATGGATCATAACCACGAGATCAACTGACAGATGTGAGGTATCACCATCACAAGTCAAGCATGTGGAAGCATGCGGAGAGGTGAATAATAACGATGCGACACGAGAGCAGTTCAAACTAAGACAAAATAGTCCAGCCCCAAGAGAAGCTTGACTGTCGGCTTGCGCAAACTCGTTGGTCTTTTCCATTCTCCGCCTGGTCCGGCTTGTTGCTTATCGCGAACTTGTCCTCCTCCCCTCCCCCCTTCTCACTGTCAGTCTGTCCCCATCACGTCCTATCCATGTCCAACAAATAATCACCCCGTTTCTCTTGCTTGATCAACCTCTTCTGTATTAATCCCATACTACTTACAGTTACAAGCTTACAGGCGTTCGGATATCTCCACCCACCGCCTCCGGTCCCCCGTACCCTTCTCCCTCTGACCAATCCGTGTCTCGCATCAACTCCATCGAGTCCGCATCCTCCGATCGACGGACCTCCCCTCTTCCTTTGGCCTCGACTGGCTCGCATCCTCTATCTATCTATCAATCTATCCCTTGCCGACCGTGGGGGAATACCGACGCTTCACACGGTTGTCTCACCTCTGCCTCTCCTGGTCATCGCTGTGTAGTGCTTACTCGATCGCACCTCCAAAGGGCATCCTCTGGACCCTTATCCTATTGTTCCTGGTCGACACGCGAGAAATAACGATGCGGACCTCTTCATCGTTCATGATCATCACCTCCTGACGTCCCTCACAGCCCCAAGCACTCTGTTGAGCACTCTGTCCCTCCTGTCTGGTTGCGCTCAGAAGCGGATCTTCCCCTCCCCGCGAGTACGGACTAGAAGCAATTCTGAACCCTTGCGCGGTCCTAATACTGCTTTAGCTCGTGTCAAGGTGGTGCATTTGCGCCCAACGGTGGCATCCGAGCTGGTGGCATTTCTTGCCCGAACTTCCCGGCGCGTGGACGTGTGATCGGTGGATTGAATTCACGGAGAGTTTCCAGGTCTCTGTCATACCGAGTTGTTCTGCCAGTGTCCGACCGCACCTTCATCTATTTTCGTCACCTGGATCGGGACGATCCTACACTGAGACGATCGGAGCTGGCTTTTGATGGTCTTGAATTTGGCAATTCGTCTCATTCCTCTTCCTTTTTTTTTATTTATTTTTTCTTCAACATCATATCTCCCTCTTGTATGGCTTGAGCGCAGAGTGATTGTGTGTCATGTCCGTCAACTCCTTTGCCTCCCCATCCCCCACCTCGCCGCTCGGTCGGAATCGAAGCTCGCTATTGTCCAAGTTCCGCTCGCCGTTCAGTCACAGGAATCGCAGCATTGCCGACTATTATATCGAACCCGACGATCCCTGGCGCTCGTACTTTCCCGGTGACGTGGTCAAAGGCACTGTGGCCCTGACCGTGGTTCGACCATTGCGGATTACACACCTGGTGGTCTGTCTACATGGATATGTCAAGGTGTTCAAGAACACTGCGGCTTCGGGGGAAACGAATCCCGATGTGGGTTTCCTCGGCCCAGGGCGTGGGCGTCGAGGACCAGAGTACTTGGGCAACGGTCTGGCCACCCTGTTCGAGGATGAGGTGGTTCTCTGCGGCGAGGGGCGTCTCAAGGAGGGTATCTACAAATTTCGCTTCGAAATGTGCTTCCCTCCTTATGCGCTGCCCAGTAGTATCAGCGTGCGTGACTTCCTTCCTATTTTGGAATTGATCGCCCTATGCCCGAGCATCCAGTTTAGCTGACTATTTCTAATGACTTCAGTTTGAACGAGGTACTATCTCGTATATGCTTACATCCACCCTGACCAAACCCACGACGATGAACCCGACCATTTCCTGCCGAAGGCGCATCAATTTCCTAGAGAACATCGATATCGCTCCCTTTCCAGCCCCTAAGGCTCGCATCGTGACCCTTGAGCCTGTTACCAAACGCTCAAAATCCAAGGGCAAGGCCAAGTCAGCAGGATCTGACGCGGCTCCTGATGTGCAGTCTCTGGAGCCGTCTCCCAATGGTGGTGGATCGGTCGGAGATAATCGCCCGCCCCTTAGTCCGGCCCCCAGTAACGTCAGCTCATCGAGTCGGCTCAGCAACAGCAGCCAAAGCTTTCAACTGGCCAGTGATCCTAGTTCGTCCGCCGGCACCGGGATACGCAATGGCAGCATCACCCCTTCGATCGCAGATAAGACCATCACGGCGAAAACTGAGCTTTTACGGGCCGGTGTGCTGCCGGGTGATACGCTACCGATCGTCATCACCATCAATCATTGTAAACAAGTGCGCAGCGCGCATGGGATAGTCGTCACGTTATACCGTCAAGGGCGCATCGACCTCCATCCTGCCATTCCGATAGGCAGTCCGGCGGATGGCAAAAAGCCTGTTTACGAGGACTACTATCCGCGATCACGAACAGGGCTAGGAGGCCTTACGATAGGCACTAGTCGCACCAGCAGCGTCTTCCGGAAAGACCTGACTCAGACCTTTGCACCTTTGGTGGTCGACCCCACGAACATGACTGCCGTGGTGAAGACTTCAATCCGCATTCCAGAGGACGTTTTTCCTACTATTACGCGCACTCCAGGCAGTATGATTAATTTCCGATATTATGTGGAGGTCGTTGTCGACTTGCGCGGCAAGCTCACGTCTCCCGAGCGCTTTTTACCACGATTCAACATGGTATCGTCGGGGAGTAATTTCTCCCCAAGTGGCCAGGTTCTGAACCCAAGTGACAGCAATGGCAACTCGATTACCACGAACTGGGCTGGCAACATTCTAGACACGACGCAGATTCGCCGTGAAAAGGGAGTTATAGCTGTCGCGTTTGAGGTCGTGATCGGGACCCGTGACTCGCAACGGCGCAAAGAAAACACTGAACGTACGCCCTCTGTGGCTGCGGGGTCTGACGTACATCCACCTCAGGCACATCCCGCTGTCGAGAATGACCACTGGCAGAACGGTTATAGTCCGATGCCGACCGCGGACTCAGAGTATCCGGCTCAGACCGACTACGGCTTTCCTGATGAGTCGCAGTGGTCAGAGTATATGGACGAAACCACTCAACACTCCCAATCATTGGGCGGAATGATTGCAACACCGCAGTCTGAAGAGCCGACGGATGAGAAGGCGCGCCTGCGGCACGCGGAACAGACCCTCTTACCCAGTCGGCCGCCGGATGATTCTGAATCAGGACCTCCGACCGGTCACTTGGCGATACCAACAGCCCCCGTGCTACCTGAAGATGACCACATCAACGGCTATCATCATCTACCGTCACCGGTGGAGAACGGACTGCCTCACACGTTGGGATCGGCGGATTCCGTCCAGACTGTCGTTGCCAGCAGCAGCGCGACCGAGCCGAATGGAAGCACAGCACCTCCCGGCGAAGATAAGCAGGAACTGGAACGACGGCGACTCATGATGGAAGCAAGCGCCCCAGAAGACATGGATGCTCTCAACGACCACTCCACCGGGCATGGACCCAGTGCTCCGGTTTTTCATGATGATCACGACGAGCAACTGGTGGGAGGAGCGGCGCACGGGGACGAGTCATTACCGCGCTACCAGCGATAAGAAGTGAAGCTGCGTCTTAGGCGATTCATGACGATGTACGATTTTCATAGCTTGTATTTGTGTTCATCCGCTACTTGAGCATGGGCGTGGCATACCTCTATCTTGCATTTTTTCGGTCCGGAGAGATACCAACTACGTTATTGAATTGATTTATTTGTCCCGTGAGAGAAGAACAGCAGAACTATTGTCTTTGACGGCTTCGACAGCCAGGAACAGGGGTGTTGTAGCCAGTTGTAGCCAGCTAAGAAGCAGCTGGAGCGCAGGAACTATTGTCACTGCTTGCCAGACACGATAATATTTTGATGAAGCAATACTTGCGCACTGTTTGACGGGTTGTTCTTATCGGACCCCATATAATAGACTTTTGTAAGCAGTAAAAAAGCCTCACGACAATCAGGACTCAGCCCGAGCTGATAGGCCGATAGATAACTGCGTCGCAATAACCTAGGTTACTTCCAGTTCAGTAGGTTTGCGCTCCCAAGCGGGCTGGCTTGGCACCGTCTGTAAGCGGCCACGCGACGACACCTATCCTCCTCCTCCCCGTCAGCCATTTGCCCTTGCCCTCTCCCTTTTCTACCTCATCCTCCAGTAAACCCTTCCTGCTCTCGTGCAGTGTCCTCTTCACCCGTCAATCATCCTCTTCAGCACGTCCTTCATCGCAAGCAAACATGGCCTTCAGGAACGGGTCCTTCGCGACCTTCCTGATCGTATGTCGTAAGTGCCACAACCCAACCCCCCTCATCGCAAGAAAAGGGAAAACACTCTAACAAGTCAAAACAAACAGCGGTCTGCTTCTTCCTCGGCATCATCTTCTCGCTCTTCCCATACGACTACCCCATCCTATGGTCCACGGCCCCAACACCCACCGCCCACTACGACTACCTCGAAGCACACCTGCGCTTCCTCCACGCCTCCCCGCCCCTAATCCCACGCATCCTGCACATCGTCATCTTTTTGGGATTGGCGGGCCTTGTCTCGAAACTCTACAAGCCGTCGGAGAGCAACATGCTCTTCGACGGCGCCTCGCTCGTCCTCTACATGTGCGGCATCACCGTCTACATCGCCAACATCGTCAAGGGGCTGCGTCTCGCCTCGGAGGGCAAGTACGGCGAGGAGCTGGCTACCAATCCCGAGGAGAAGGAGCAGATCCTTGGCCGGGAAGACTCGCTGAAGGTGCTGTCGGCGAGTAATACCATCCTGGCGTTGGTGCTGGTGGGTGTTTTGGTGCTGCAGGCGGGGCAGTGGTATGCGGAGCGGAAGGATGCGCAGGAGTATGAGTCGTTGGCGAAGGTGCGGAAGGAGGGCGGTAGCGCTTCGTCGGCGTCGTCGGCCGGTGCGCCGGCGGCGGCGTCGTCGTCGTCGTCTGGGAAGCCTGGGAGACAGGGGAGTGTGAAGAAGAAGAGCAACTAGGTTTATTGTATGGTGTCAGAGTCGGTGTATTGCTAGTTTGATGTTTGTGTATGGGTCGAGTATGTTGCTTGTATGATCTGGCGAATGGTCCGGGAGGGGGGACTGGATATGGGCAATGGAATGAGGTATCAAAAGTGTATGCGAGCCATGGCTATATCTACTTGGGCTAGTTCTATGTACATGATGAAAGAAGAAAACAAAGAACCAAAGCCCTGACAATGTTTCGTGATGATCATATATAAACATTATCGCAATGCAGAAGGGGAATCATACGATGAAGCGCCCAGCGAACTCGATGTCGCGTGGGCTTGCAGAACGGACGTGGGCATCATGAAAGTCACTAAAGAGTGGACGGTGTGATAATGTCACATCTGCAATGTTTCGGGAGCAAACGAGAACGGACTCCGCGGCAGATCGGGCGACCTGGGACTCAGCGCTTTCGCGAACAGATCCTCGCCAGAGTCGGCGCTTGATGTGCGCGCAAGTGTAGTCATGGATGCAAACCCACTGTTGTGATCGCTGCTGTTCTGTTGCGCTTGGATTGATTCCGGCGGATAGTGCACCACAGTTCGAAGAGTGGTATCTGGGGCGGGGGAGGGATGCAAAGCGGCGTTGGACGTGGGTTGCATTGTGTGGAAGGAGTTGAACGAAGAGACGGCTACATCGGGCGACTGGGGAGAAAGGAGATGGCGCGCGTTCGAGGATGCTGCTGGTCCATTAGTTGGCGTCGAACTTGAGGAGCGGGACGAGTCCATACCATCCATGTTTGAGGACAATTCTCGCTGACTGGTCTGCAACTTGAGTCCCTTGAGCTTCTCGCCCAGCTTACCTCCGCTGCTGGGAGACACTGGCGTAGTGGGGCCCATTGGATATTGCGAATCTTGAATGGCCTGTGTCTGGGATTCCGACTTGGATCCCACTCCGAAATTGCTCTCGATCCATTCCTTCTCCTGCAGCGCCATGTGCAGCGCGATCCCCTCCGCGTTGTTCATACATTCCTCCCGAATCTCCTTGTCCAGGACCTGCAGCCGCTTCTTTGCCCAAATCGTATGCAAGACACCCTTCTTCCCAGCCGAGCGGCCAGTCGCACCTAGCTCCGGAGGAAAGATAGCCGGTAGCGGATTCAGTTGAAGCGAATTGGTCTTCTGAGTCGGCGTCGACGAGGCCGAAGACGTAGCGGGAGGCTCGTAGGACAGAGTCACCACGGGAGGAATGGTTGCATGAGGCGGTAAAAGGAAGTAGAAGCGGCGAGTGTTTTCGCTTGTTCGCTCATCGGCAGGGAGAACCGTCTTCTTGCCCTCCCATGAAACATGCCATGAGCCTCCGGGAAAATCCGCGGAGCGGCCGAGGTCGTCATCCTCCCATTCGACCATGAGAATCTTGGTGCCATCATTTCCTTTTCCAGCTTCGAACTCAAAGCGGGCCAGCGCCGTGATCCTCAGGCTCTGACATGGCACGCGGGGGGTTTCTAGACCAGCGAACTCACTGTCCGGAGTGAAGGGAGGAGAGAGGGCGTGAGACATGGCTAGACTATACTTTTGTGGGAAGATAGCAGTGCGCTAAGCAAAGGGAGGGTAGGGAGTGCCTGCAAAAGGAAAATAGCTTTTGCTTATTTTTTCGTCCCCCTTCCTTCAGAGGATGGATGGCCGGCGCGTAGGGAGAGATGACACAGAGACTGATAGACAGTCAGGCTGAGAAGCTGGACGGTACATCTGAAGGGCAGGAAGTGAGCGAGTGCGAAGGAAAACAGACCGACAGAGAGAGAAATTGGTGGATCACGGGATGGCGGAGGGGAAATTGCGTCGATAGGCTGCAAATCCCAGCCTAGTTGTTTTCCATGCTTCTTTATCCTTCGTATTGTCCAGTCTGGGATGCCTCAGACGGTCAAATCCCTTGATTCGATTCGATGGCCAGTGTCAAATGGCCCAGGTGTCTTCGTACGACTACTGCTCCAAAGACGAAGGCTGCATGTCCTTTGAGGGGCGTTCTTGGCCGCGCTTCTAAATATAGAATTACAGCCTGCAACACCGGCTTGGCGCCTGATGGTGTAGTACTACGGCACCCATTGCCCCTCGTGCCACTCTTTACGGCTGATTCTGATCTGATCCGGTCGTTTCAGTGGGTATGCGGTAGTATATCTACATGCCGCATTCGATACTTGGACAGCTCACTTACCTGAGTAGCTGCTCGATCCCAAAGACCAAGGTCTGTATACACATAGTCAAAGCCGTTAGATCCATCCTCGAGCTCAACATCTAGGCACCTATTACCAGGTTAGCCGCCAGAATCGGAGCTCTTCAATATAAAAGAAGACAGCATATCGACACTAACTAGGAGAAGTAGAAGACAAAAGACCCTCTTCCTCGCTGACGTGACTGAACCAACCGGGAAGACAAGAGAGATGCAGAAAATAACCTCATGCCTGGTCAGATCAGTGCACTCCACATCCTGGGAGAATAATAAGCATAATTGCAGGTCTTGGATTGACCATGCTCAATTTCATCACGGTGAACCAGCGTCTTGTACGGTACGATACCATACAAACAGAACCTACAGGACCATCAGGAAGACGAATCAAGTGGAGGATGCAGGAGAATGATCATCTACAGTAGTGATGAGACGTTCCTCACTATTGGAAGACAGGAGCATGAATCAGTTGCTGTCACTGATGGATGATGGTGAAGAAATCATTATGCAGGGGGCAGGGGAAAGTGCTTGACCTACCATGAGCAACAACCCCTCTCCATTAGGCAAGGGAAAGTTCTAATTTGGGCACAGCTGTCATGGAGATCTAAAGATCTCAACTGAGAGGCAGCTCGTTCGTTTCAGTGCCAGAAGAAGCGGGAGACTGATGTATGTCGTGTGCTGGAGCTGAAGATGTGCATCAGTATCACGACTGGCGTCATGAGATAACCGCCTAAAACAATTGATGCCGACGGTATTCAGAGGAAGTTGGGAGCTCTTGACGTGACGAGTATGCATATGGATCAAAAGGAAGATCGCAAAGATCATCTATTAATAGAATCAGCGCTACAGTCCGACCATTGAGGAGAGCAGATAGGGAGGCAGAGCCTAGCCCTGAACAATTGGGGAGACCAGACAATCTCTTGGTTTTATGATGGGCAGGGGATGCCTCCTATGTTATCCAATAGATTCAAGATCTGAAAGCAAAGAACTCCAGATGAACTGCTCGGGGGCATATCGACGGGTTTGTTGTGATTAACGATGTCGCCTGCCTCGATGTGAACAAGTGAGCCAATTCATCTGAAGCAAGAATGGTAGCTCAGGTCTGAGATTGAGTACACGAAGAGAGAATCATCTTTCGCCATGAATGTTTAAGAATATCTTCAAGTATATACCAAACCATGGCATTGAAGCTGATATTGATCTCGCTAAAAATATCATACCCTGTGAACTAACACTGCCTAAGGTAGCTTCTGCAGGTTAGTGTACCAGAAATAGTAACAATCATCGAGGACAAGAATGGGACACACATAGCCTGTCCAGTCAGCAGGTCATTTCTTCCTCGCATGGTATTTTCCTCAAAGTGCACAAATCAAAACCAGAATCTGACTTCAGGATAGACTATCAATCGCTCCCAGGCCCGCCATACACACCTGTCTACCTAGTGTAGAGAATCCCGTAATCGGAAATCAAAGCGCCAACTGAATGAACACACTCATTCCTCAACCAAAGATGCAATCAAACCTCGCCTCCCCGGTCAAAATTCGTCACAAACTCAAGCTTAAGGCAGTAGTAATAGTGCTGCGACTCTTTGCTTTTCCTGTCATTCGACGGTCGCTGATAGAGTGGTTAGCTGAGGGGTTGTTGACGCGCCGTGATCCTGCTCTGGGGCAGATGATTCGCTTCGAATCCTTCAGATCACGGCGCCAAAGCCGCCGCATTGTGTGATATCATGCATAGTGCATATACCTTTTCACGACTTCGTAGTCTGATTCTGCTAGATTGTTAATCGAGTACGTACTGTGGCCATGGTACATCTTCTGTGTGATCTGCCTCGTCAACGGTACACACAATCCTCGACGAAAGAGGGCTCACGAAGCAGGAAAGTCCTAGGTGGATGTTGCTGTATCCAAGAATAGCATTCCCGGCGCTTACCTGCCCCTCCATATGGAATAAGCCCAAGCCCCGGACAAGATGGAGTATCAGAAGTCAAGACCACCTGAAAGCCAGACCCACACGTCATCCCGGCTCCCCACACAGACGGTGTATCTTTTAGCAATTAGCCAATCACAACGAAGTGCCGTCCCCAAACATCCAGCGGGGAGCCACCAGAAGGATCCACTACGCCTAAATCAGGCATAGCGCCAGCGCTTAATTGCATCTGCCACGGTGCCCCAGTCCTCTGGAACAGTCCCACTCTGTTCGCTGATTGGCTCGTTTTCATCTGATGCAGGGTGATAGGCACCAAGTGATATAAAACATGGTGGGTTACGGGAAGAATTCAAGATGGAAGCAGCTGGAATGGGATGGGGGTTAGAAGAGGGGCATGAGACAAGAGACAGGAGAAGGTATCCTACGAAACTCAAACTGTACTGGTTGGGTTTGTGTGGTAAGCAATACAGGCATAGTAAAAGACTAAAGATAGGTTTTCTCTGGATTAGTGTAGTGGGTTTACCAAACCTGCGGGACTGTTCACAGCACATCAACTATCCTCTCATGAAGTCGAAACTCACAAAATACCTCGCATCTCGGTGTAGATTGACTGAGGGGCAACGATCAGATAGAATCGGTATGTCCGAACGGCAAGCCTGCATTCATCACGATGTCTTGAAACGTCCAGCGCGTCTTGTCTTCCAATGAGAGCCAATAGCTTATTGTCAGTGTGGTCACAGTCTGCTCGATGCTGTGATATTGCCAGGCAAAACGACAGCGAAACTCGCGCTAGTCCTTACTTGCGGACCTGAACAAGGATAGTAGAACATACTCTGGATGAAACTATCTACTAGTCTACTTTCCAAGTGTCGACTACTGGAATG